AAAATATAATAAAAATATATATATATATATACATATATATATATATACATATATATATATATATATATATATATATATATATATATATATATATATATATATATATATATATATATATATATATATATATTACGACCATAGAAACTTTGATCATTGAATAACCAAGAAAAATGCTTTCATTAGATTTTGTATCAAACTTTCATAAGACATCTTTTTCATTCAAGATAAAATATTTACAATCGAAAACTTTAAAGTACGAAACATTGAGTTTTTTATCATTCCATAATTCATAAAGAGTTTTGGAAAGTAATGGTCTTACTAGAATCCTATTCATGACATAGTATATCGTATTAATGACTTCGGCCCAAAAATATTTGGGTAGACTATGTTCGTTTAATTAGTAGTTACTTGTTTGTTTCCGTTGTTGCTCGCTTGTACGAGAAAAATATATCATCATTTTTTTTCTGATAATTATTTATTTATTTACTTCAAAGAGAAAGAAACATAGGGGAGTATATAGATTTTCTGATAATCAAACATGCTAGTATTCATGTAAATAAAATTAAGTATATCGTAGTAGGTATGACGTCATATGACGTCAAATACATGAGATTTATTGGATCAGTTGGTGGACTAATTGGAACCCTAAATTTAAAGTGGTTCTTTTGGCATTTACCACAATAGTTAGCCACTTTGTATGACTAGAAAACTATGCATCACATGCAGCTGTCTAAGAGATTAATGCAGACAAACAAAAAAAGCTATTTGGTCATTGAATACTTCATGCATGTCATTCTTGTGATTGGAAGAGACTTCACTCTTTCAACTTATCTGTGATATATTTCCAAACTTTGAGATCAATGCATGAATAATATCTTCTGAAGAAAAGCAAACACATCAATTCAATTCTAAGGACAACAACACATTATCACATTTTGGAGGTTGCACATTATTAAAAGAGAAAAACAAATTAACAACATACCAAACAAAAGAAGAAAATGAGTATAATTTTATTCCTCTTTATCCCTTTAGTTGTAAAAAGCATGAGAAATCTAAGTTGGCAAAGATATTATTATTATTATTATAACCCACTAATCAACTTATATATACAACATTTATTTGAATATCCAAACCTTAAATTACTATATTGATGCTAAGTTTAATGCTAAGATGACTCATATTCTCATACAAATTATCTTATAATATCTCAGAAACCCTCTATTAAGGTTCACAAATTTGGTGGGTGGGAATTTGAACTGCTAGAAGATGTTCTGATGCATGAACCAAAATTACTACCTACCCCCTCACCTTTCTAGACTCTCATTATTTCACAATAAATAAATACAAATGCCATAAGATTGTTCCAAATATAAAAACCTATATTTAAGACTCAACAAGAAAGAAAAGATGATTCATTATCCTTTATTTTTGAAATATGCTAAAGTTCATCCAAAACAATTTAAGCTCTCAAAGAAATTATTTTATGAAATCTACAAGTCTATAATAAAATTTATAATTAGTTGGAGCTTATTTCTGAAAATGAGACAAAACTTAAGACCTGTGGCTTTCTCCCAAGAAATCTTCTAAAATTGACATGGATAAATAATATATGTAATTTAAAATTTATGTGAATGAAATAACTAATAAGAGAGAATGATGGGATACAATAAAGGACCCTTCATTTGTCCTTCTCTGTCCTTTGGATGGCATCTCTCTCTCTCTCTCTCTCTCTCTCTGTATGGAGAAAAAATATGGACTATGTTGTGGTTTGAGTTGCAAAAATCTTCTTCTTGTTTGGTGAATCTCCCTCAGCCAATCTCCCAAACACACCACCCCCTTTCTCCCTACCTCATTTAAGCTTTCTCTATATCTACAAGTTAGATTCCCTGCTCCCATTTCCTCCCCCCACCCATCATCCTTCACCTACTCTGCCTGCAACTCCCACATCTCCTCCTCCATCCTCCACCCAGCTGTCAGAGATCAGAGTTCTGCAACTGGTGCCTGGGTGCAGCTCTCTCTCCTTCTTTTTCCCCTTACATGGTCCTTCCAGGAAGGAATCAGCAAACACAGGCTGTAGGAGGACAAACAGAATGATGGATGGTAAAGTCCAACACCCAGATTACCCTGACTTTGTTGAGGTTGATCCCACCGGAAGATATGGCAGGGTACTTGCACAAGACCAATCCTTCAATTTTTCCTCATCTTCCTCTTTGGATTTTTGGCTAATGCTTTTGTGGAGTTCCTATGTTGGGCTGTGTGTTCATCTCTTTGTTTGGTTCTCTGCAGTACAATGACATCCTTGGCAAGGGGGCATCGAAGACAGTGTATGGTCACTTTCACCTGTTACTCATCTGCTCACATAATTAGATTTTGAAGCAGCACTCTGCTTCTCCTTGATTCATGGGCCTTTTTTTCTCATCAAAGAATTTTTCTTGCCAGTTATAGGGCTTTCGATGAGTATGAAGGGATTGAGGTTGCCTGGAACCAGGTGAAGCTGTATGATTTCCTGCAGAGCCCTGAGAACCTGGAGAGGCTGTACTGTGAGATCCACCTTCTCAAGACCTTGAAGCACAAGAACATTATGAAGTTCTATACCTCCTGGGTTGACACCTCTGAGGGTAACATCAATTTTGTCACTGAGCTGTTCACCTCTGGCACTCTCAGGCAGTAAGTGGATATGCTTCTTCTTCTTCTTCTTCCTCCCTTTCATTTTATTGAGATGGTGGATCTAATGAATCATGCATTTTTTGTGGACTAGAAATTTTATGCTAAATCATCATATAATGTGTGGATAGGTATAGGCAAAAGCATAGAAGGGTCAATATCAGGGCAGTGAAGCACTGGTGTAGGCAGATTCTTAGCGGCCTTCTCTACCTCCACAGCCATGATCCCCCTATCATCCACAGGGACCTCAAGTGCGACAACATCTTCATTAACGGGAATCAAGGCGAGGTCAAGATCGGTGATCTTGGCCTCGCTGCCATACTCCGGAAATCACATGCTATCCATTGTGTAGGTATGATCACCATAGGCGCCGATGATAAACTATAAGGATTTTCTATGATGTGTATCGATTTCATATGATTTTTATTTTTTATATCTCACAGGCACACCGGAATTTATGGCTCCAGAGGTTTACGAGGAGGAATACAATGAATTAGTAGACATATACTCATTTGGGATGTGTGTCTTGGAGATGGTCACTTTTGAATACCCGTACAGTGAATGCACCCACCCCGTGGCGATATACAAGAAAGTCATCTCTGTAAGGAACCTCAACTTTCGGAACTA